TATATATATTATATATATATATATATATATATATATATATATATATATATATATATATATATATATATATATATACTTTGCAGCATTTTTAATATCTTCAAATCTAAACAAGGTTTTCTTGATTGTTTCAAGGTTGTCTTGCAATTAAATTAATATTCTTTCAATATCTATCAAAATATAACTACTTTATCATCTTAAGCTAACATTTTAGTATTAATGTGCTGCTCTCCAAAGGAAATGACAATAACATTGTATTCTCATAAAAAATTTAATTTATTAAGATATAATATTTTAGTAATAATAATAATAATAATATTTTTACTTTAATGCTATGTGTGAGAACTTTGATAACACAGAATTATTCAATCTTAATTTGATTGTACAGATCAAGGTAGAACTGTCAGGTTCAACGAAGGAATTGAAGAGTTTGTCCCAGATGTTGAAAGAGTCAAATATCAGCCTGCAACTGTCTCATCAGCTGATAGAGCTGCACGAATGCATGAAATCCATAAGAAAGTTGCAAGAAGAAAAGCGGTTTGTGGACACTACCAAGACTCTGCTGCAGATGCACTCTTTGCTGAACAACCCCAACAGCGTTGTGCACGATCTCGAGATCTACACTGCGATCAAAAACGAATACTGCGAGCTTTTCCGCTCGTGCTTAACGGAAATATCCAGGCTGTTGCGCGACCGAATCTGCTGGAGTAGCGATGTGAAAGACGGCAAAACGATCACTTCCGTCACCATCAAGAGCGAATACGACGACATACAAGAGCTGATACAAGGCTTGCATATCATTGATCATCTCGAGAACGAACTGAAGACGTTCTCCACGAAACTGATGGAGCACATCATTAACCCCGTCATTCACGACCACTGCTCGGTCTACGTCGTCAAGGAGAAAGTATTTACCGTCGACATATTGGAGAGAAAGAAGATGCCGTGCTATAAGGGTGTATTGTACAATCTAAAGCTGCTCTTCAAGTTCCTCCATCAGCACTTGAATTTGAAAGTCGCGGACGACGAGACTTTCTTGAAAAGGATGCAGCCACATCTACTAGAGCAGTTGTCGCACTCGTTAACAACGGATTGCATCTCGCACACTATCCCGACTTCTAACGCTGATCTGAAGAACTTCGAGCCTGTCGTCGAGGCGATTAACGAATTTCAAGATTACCTAGTGGAAATCGGTACTTACGTCTAGCTGTAAGCTCGGGGCTAATATGAAAAACCAATTAAATAAGTGATAAAATTTCAGAATTTCTCTCCAAGGACCAGCTCTTCTTATCGGAATACACGAACAACATCGACAAACTATTCATCGACAGAATATGTCAAGATCTATTGGTAAAGGTTCGAAATATCATCAAGAAGGATCTGCACGATTCTGTGCGATATGAGCCGCAGGTATTATTCATAGTTATTAAAATAACAATGATGCATCTCTCAAGGATTCTATTTATTTGTAAACGGGTAACTTTTTTGGTAATACAAAAAAGAAAAGAAAAGGAAAATAAGAAGTTGAAAAAAGGATGAGTAATCAGGTAATACAAAAAAAAAGATAATACTCAGATAATTGTAGTCAAATTTTATATTTAAGATTGTCTTAAGTTCATCTTCAGAAGCTGCGGATAGTTCCATTACGAAATACCTGAAGGTGAACTAAGGACAATCTTAAATATAAATTAAACAAATACAAAATTCAACTATATGAATACCATTTTTAGAATACAATTGTCCTCTCATCTCGTAGGAGCCACCGAAACTTATGAGCAAAGCATTCGAAGACGATCGTGAGTTGACCATCGAAAAGAAACTGAGCGATATGTCGTTCCAATTACCCAGATGTCAGATAAGGCACGTTTTTTAATGTACATTAGTTAATTTTGTTAATTTAAAGAATTTTGTTCAATGACAATACAATATATATGGAATTTGACAAAATTTTCGAATCTCGATACTTTCTTTCAGTGTACGATAATTAAATGTAACTTTTATCAATGGCATTTTAGCAAGAGCGCAATGGAGACACTGGAGTTAGCGAGGACGATATTGGACGAAGCCCGTGATAGCTCGGACGCTTGCGCCGTTCGGTTATTTTACACCTGTAGAAACGTGTTCGGGATGTATGCCTGGCTAGTCCCAGAACATCATAGAAAATTTCTGGATACGATACCGCAGCAAGTCGGTAAGACTGATACAAGCCATACGATACAATCAGATATCAAGCAGATTCTGTGACGTGAGCGTGAAATCTTCATTCTTACAATCGCTCGCGTTACGCTTGCAGCTCTGTTTCACAACAATTGCATGTACCTCGCTCACCACCTGCTCACGTTGGCGCATGACTACAGAGATAAGTTCTCGAAGAACTTGCAAAAGTTGAACCTGACATTTGCGGATCAAGTCACGGTACTGCGAGACGTCGGTTCGCGGTATTTCCTGGAACATATGAGGTATCAGAGAAACATCATCTTCGACATCATCAAAGACTCGGGTTCGTGTGCTTCAGCTTTGTTGACTGTTAGCAGAATTCGTGGCGAACTTGCAATTGACATTTATCTCGCGTGTTAATTTCAGGATTTACGTCATTGGGTCAAACGCCCGAGTTACATCCCAGCACGGAGCGTGCATTGAGACAATGTATCAGACAATTGGAACTGCTGAAGACAGTCTGGCTGGACGTGTTGCCTATCAATGTTTACTGCAAAGCTGTCGGTGGGTTGGGCCTTTCTCATCGCTTCTTTTCGTGGTGCACCTTAACGCACATTGCGTTTCTCATTTTATTTCTCTTATATTAACGCGCGTTACAGGTTGCATAACAAATTCCATGGTTGACGACCTGGTGACGAAGGTAATATCCGTCGAAGATATTCCGGTTGATGTAGCAAGAGAACTGGTGGTTCTGTTCAATGTGGTGGTGAAACGGGCGCCGCAGATATTCCCGGTAGGTGAATTAAAGTTCGGTATGGAGAATTGAAGTTCACATCATCATATCACACACACACACATATATATATATATATATATATATATATATATATATATATATATATATATATATATATATATGTATGTGTGTATACATATGTATATATATATGTATATATATGTATGTATATATATATATGTATGTGTATATACATATGTATATATATATGTATATATATGTATGTATATATATATATATATGTATATATATATATATATATATATAAAGTAATGGCTGTCTTCAGTAGGGAAAGCTGCTTTGTAATTGTTGTAAAATTCGTAAATCTGATTGTTACATGCTGTTAGATTCAGCCAAGATTAAGGTTCCTGTTTCTACAGCTATGGAATTTTGGATTGACGATGTCACAAGAAAATGCCAAAAATTCTTATGTTATTTTCAAATCAAAAGATATTTATAAGAAAGAACACTTCAGATCGCTTGAGCATACTTGCAAAATTCTTCAAAAACTATCCTTTTCCCTTGACAGTCAATAAATAGCCTTAAAATTAACGTGATATGCACTGTTTCTTTGACCCAACTTCCCTCATGATTTTGCCATGTTGATTTTAAGACTATTTAATTAAAAGTTACAGAATAAGCACACAGGAGCCTTAAGAGTAATTACAAATTTTATAACTATTGTAAAAAGCAGGTTTCTCTGCTAGACGTACAGCCAGCACTGGAAATGAATAATTGTGGATTAGAGATTAGTATTCGAGCTTGACTCGCTTGGTCAAACTTCAATCTTTAAATTTAAATTTCAATGTTTAGTTTGATACAGACTTAAAAATACACGCAGAGGGACAGCACAAGTTTCAGGAAGAAAGGTTTAACTCTTGATGTATATATATATTTTTTTATTGTTTGATCTAACGAAAGTACACGAGTTTTACGATACGACAGAGTTGTGCGAGAGTTGTAGCGGTACTCCGGCTGGTCCCTGTAAAAATTCAATCATGAGAACGTTATTCCCGCTCAATCGAATCGCCATGCACACTAATTCACATTCCGACGGTCGTAGGATCCGAGTAAAATTCAGCGGCACGTACGCAAGTGGGGCAAGTTTTTGGAACTGATCAGGCTACTCGGCGCGTCACTGAAAGAGATCGAGGTCAGATGGGGAAATGGGAAAGGACCTTTGGCGCAGGAGTTTACCGCTCCGCAGGTAAAGCAACTAATTCGCGCGTTATTCCAAAACACCGACCGAAGATCTAATCTCTTAGCTTCCATAAGATAAAAGTGTAAGACACATAGATTTAGGAGTTTATGAAATAAGGAATAAAAACAGCCGACGTTTATGTATCATAACATTCTGCGTGAAAATTTAATATGTGTATGAGATGTACCACACGTGGCAACCGCCTAGAAAATGTCTTTCGCGGATTTTCGTTGCATTCGACCTTCCGAGTTCATTGGACATTCAATTTTTTATATATTTTTGTACGAAGAAACAGATGTATCGAAAATAAAGCACTGAATATACCGGATAAATTTGCTTGCTGAAGTATAAATCACAGTTACAACTCCATGATACTTTCTAATCGCGGTTTACTAAATGAAAAGAAATGCAATCAGTTGTACGATAAATGCGTGAATTCCACTAATTCAGGTAAAAACGAACGAGCGCTCACCCGACTCCGATTTCCCGTTTTACAAAAGCCACGGCACAAAGTCGGTATCAAATTGTCGTCGTTTAGCGACTCTGCGTAATTATAATATCGACTTTTAATTGTTACGACAAAACAACTTTTTTGTTGCTGAGATACTTACATAAATGCTTGTTTTTAACTCACAACAAACTCTCGCATATCATTCAACCGAGTGCCTCTCGGCGTTCGCTATCTCAATTGTTTCTTCTTCACGACGGATTCTCGTTTTAAGATATCATGAAGATATTGTGAAACACACGGAAAAGAGTGGTCGACGCGAACACAACATTCGTGAAAGAACAGAAATAGTTTACCCGGAGTTCATAAGATCTTTAAAACATCTGGTACAGGCAACATTTGTATCAGTCAATTGGTTATTCGACAAAAATAACTTGTGAAGTAGCAGAATAAAACGACGTCGTTACGTTATCGGTTATAATAAGATATGAAAAAATGGTCAGACAGATATAGACAGACAGACAGACAGATAGGCGGGCGGGCGGGCAGGCAGGCAGGCAGGCAGGCAGGCAGGCAGACAGACAGACAGGCAGGGTGGCGGGCAGTAGTGAGCGCAAATCATTTAATATCTCAATTTCCAATTCCATATCTTTTACAGTAGAGGTAATATACATCATTACCATTTTATTTGATCACTTTCTTATTTACGAACGTCCGCGGTGTGACACAAAAGCGCGGACGCTCCAAAAACGTGTCCTCTCTTTCGTCCAAATGCAGCACTGTTTCTGCACATATATTTGTCGGGAACAAAAAGATGACGAAAAAAAAAAAAAAAAAAAATAACGGAAAATATGTCGCACAAATGCGACGGCCATGGGCTTTTCAGTTTTTTGTCTTTTTTTTTTCGGCTCGGCTGAAAACTTTGATCTCTCGCAGAGTTTTGTGCGTTGAGATTTCGCTGGAGCAAAACTGTCCTGTATTCTCTCGTTCGGTTCGTTTGTTCGCATGTATATTCGACAAAAAATCGATTCCTCATATACGGGCAGCAGTTTGCATTTGGCTAAAGTCACGCACACGATCTCCTATGATCTCTTCACTGAGATTCCATATAAAATCGTTACTATTCATAGAATAATAAGCGAGCACACACGTTTTTCTTTCTACCTACATATACGATGAAGGATTATTCACACCACGGGTCTCCTTCGTACGTTTGTAACTGGTGTCTCGGAATTTATCGCAGAAAAAAGTAGAAGCTTTTGCAAGGTGAATTACAGCTGAGCTGCGCTTTCTGTCCATCGCGTTAATAACGAGTATCAGTAGACATACAATTGTAGAGTATAGTACCATACGACAGCCATACAGTACCATGTGCGTCATATACGCCTCAAAAAAAGTCACCGGGTCTTTCCGCGACCCTCGATCTTACGCGAATACGCGAACGCAATGTGAAAGATCGAGAATCGTACGAGTGACTCTCCGCCGCGACATTAAGGCAGACGTGACGCCTCTGGTATACGTTATTAAAATAATCTCGAACGTCATATAACCGTAAAGCACAAAAAAAGAAAATTCCGGCCATGGTATAAAATCGTAGAAAGAAGTGTGGAAAACAGAGGTAAAAATTTTAAAATAGAAAGTGCGCTTTTTTAGCTAAAAATAGAATAATAAATCAAGAAGTACAATCCCTACATACTACAGCCCTATATTTAATTACTTCGTCGGATATTGAGTTTGTTGAGTCCGCGATTCGATATTTCACTGCGCCTCGTTTTTTTCATTCTTTTTCTCTCATTCTCTCTCTCTCTCTATCTTTGTATTTCTGCGTGTCTCTCTCGTTTTGCAAACGGAAGAGCGTTCTTTCGAGGGAACTTTCCGCTTTTTCTTTTTTTTTATTTTCTCGAATCATCTTCTGTGAGTTTCTGAGTTAATCATAGAAAGTGTCCCTCTGGCTGCGACCACAGTGTGTGTAACTTGTGTGTAAAGTGGTCAACAATGCAAGGAAAAATAATGCACAGCATAAACCGCAATGATAGTTCTTGTCTATATACAGGTCGCTGTGTAGATTGGACAGAAATGAAGTCGTCGAGGCGGGTGGCTGATCGGCCCGCAGTTCAGATTGGCAACGCAGCGTAGTTCTTTTATGTGCATTCACGTAGATGACGATGACTGTGAACATGGAAGTGCAAAACAGGATGTCACATTACTTTTGTCGCCCCCTTCTTTCTCGACTCCCATCGACTATGAGAGCCGGCGTTATTAACTTTATATTTACGTGCATGCAAGATATACGTTAACTCTCGTCGTACTTTAATAACCCAGCACTCATGCACTTGAAATTCTTTTTTTACTTTTTTTTTTATCTATGTTAAAGCACCCGTGTCGGGCAATGCAGCGAACATTGCTCGCGTGTTTAATCCGTAGATCGTCCGTATAGTTCATAATAGGCCATAATATCGACGTTAGATCGCGGTGAGATACGTTTCCCGTGCGTTAATTTAGTTTTTAGGTTTCGCCTCTCGAGGTGGACGGATTAGACGCTCGCCCGCATCCCCTGTTTGCCTCCGACAACAAGTGTTCATGCGCGACCGAATTGTCGATTTTGCCCTCCTGCTTTTTACCGCATTACTGCGAATACTCCCAAATCACTCGTCGTATCTCGTCGGTTAAAAATTGCCTTTCTCGTCGAAGTCTACTCTCCGGAGACAAAAGATACGAATTTTCCTAATTATCTCTGTGTTTATTCTCGATGTTTACTGTATACTGAATGGCACTGTGCAGAACTCGAAACACGTTGTTCATGGCCTTTTAACAGAACTATAATCTACGTGGTTGTTTGTAACGATTGATATATCACAGATATACAGGATGCCCGACGCTAAGTGTCTCCACGCCTCGTTCATACGTAGTTTAGGTCAAGCTGAACACAAAACCCCTCCACAACTTTGCACACAACCACGTAAAATTTTAAATATTTATCGATTAAAAGCGACTGGCGAGTGATATCACACGTGTAATACAACAAATGAGTTGTGATAACGACGTCTGCCGTCGCATAATTGTAGATTAGGTCAAACTGAACAAAAAAGTCTTCTATCACTTTGTAAATAATTATGTAAGTTTTCGAGTTATTAATTGAAGAAGATTAGCGGACGATCGCACGCGCGACAATGCACCAGTATTCTTCGATTAATAACTAACAGTTTACGTACTCACCTGCAAAATGGCAGATCTTTTTCAGTTCAGTTCAGTTTGCCCTAAATCTACAAGCAACAGGCGTCGCTATATCTGCCGTATCGCTGAATCATTCGCCACTCTCCTTTAATCCCTCCATTGACCTTATATGACGAATGCTCTCTCAGCCGAAATTTTACTTTGTAATTATATAAAGGTAACTTAACAGTAGGTTTTGAAACTTTCTGACTTTTTCATTTGCAACCTTTTATATTATACTCGTCTCGCTCATAGCGAGAATAAGTGAAGTTAACGCGACTTGCGCAGTCATTAAACTCAAGTTTTACTCTGATGAAGGAATAATAGATCCATATTTTAATACATCTATTTTATGAAACAGTAGCGCAGTAATAATTAAATTTTCATTTGAATTAAATTAATAACAAGTGTGGTCTCTGCGTGGAGAGATTAATAACCAGCTACGTAAAACTTCACGTAGTTGTTCGCAAATTATTGGAGGAATTTCGTGTTCAGTTTGATCTGATCCACGTGTGCACGAGGTACGGGATACTTGGCGCCTCACGCTCTCGTATATTTATGTTTGTACAGTCGTGGAAGCGACTACCACCGAGATTTTAGAGTCGCCGAGCTCCAAAATAGTGCTGAAATAATCGCGAGACGCGAGTTTATGAAAGAAATCAGTTGGTATGGATGTCGTTAATACCTGCCACGGCCAGCCGGTGAGCGGCTTCGATACCTCGCTGTGCTCGTGTCCTTTCCGGTATAGTAATCGGCGCCGGTGTCTCCGCCACTAGCACCGTAGACATCCTGAGTATATCCGTCTCGTGTAACATACCCGCCGCTGCGATTGTACATATAGTCTTCTCCGTAACGACCTCTGCCCCTACTTGCGCCACCCCTGCCTGCATAATAGCTGCCTCCGTAATCGCCGTACGTATTGCCTCCTCTGTAACCCGCGCTAGTACCGCCTCGAGTGCCGAAATCCCTACCACCGACCCCGCGACCACCGCGGAAACTACCCGTACTGCCCCTGCTGCCGCCACCGCGACCTCTACCCCGTGAAATCTCGACTCTCAATTTTGCACCCATTATCTCCATGCCGTTCATATTGCAGCACGCTAATTCGGCCTCGTTCATGTTGAAGAACTCGATGAAGGCGAAGCCTGGCGGATTGAAGGCCACCCAAACCTTGTTCAGCTTGCCGTACTTCTCAAACTCCATCTGCAGGTCTTCCTTCTTGATGCTCTCGTTCAACCCACCCACGTAAACGCGTGTGTACCCCTCTGGCGTCATCTTGCTCCTGAAAAGGAACAGAATCAGTTTGTTGATATGTGGATCTCCCAAATGTTGAGGAACATCGGTCTTTAGAGCGTCTCTCATTTGTTAGCCTGAACTGAATATATTTTTACAGCATTTGTTGAGGCTGAGCATCATGAATCGATGAATCTTTTCATGTGAAATCTCAATCTTACTCATCAATCATTACTTATCAATCTTCCCTGGTATAAAATCATGAAAAGTAAATAATTTTTCAGTACTTGGAAGTGATCATGTATCCTTTTCCTTCAATGTAAACTCGTGAAAAGTGAATATTTCCATGTATTTTCAAAGTAAGATTTTTCACTTTTCACACTAAAGGAGAAGATTGATGATTGATACTCCCTGATTCTATTGTTGTAAAACTCTGAATCGACATCAAACAAAGAAACACATTCCAAAAATTCTTGCATGTAATTTTCAGATAAAAAAATATTTGTATGAAAGAATACTTGAAATCACTTGAGCATATTTGTAAAATACTCCATGAACTATCCTTTTTTCTCAAGTTAGGATATTAATGTGACAAACCTTTATATTATTTATATAATATTATGCAATCATATATATATATTTTTTAGTCTATATTTTATATATATTTATATTTTTTTATAATATACACATGTTCTTTGTAAAAAAAGCAGGCAACAGTGAGATTTTTTTTTCTCTCCGCGCGAATAGTTAGACTCATGACACTCGGACAAAATCTCTACCTGCGAAAGGAAAAACACTTCGACTTCCACGTGTGAAGGCTAAGTGAAATGAAAGATCTCGATGTTTCCCGAGCACAAGATTCGCTTGTGCGATCTCTCGCGGCGAATTTCGCGGCAAATCGTGCGTGAGCAGAGCGCTATCGCGTTATGGCGGTGTTTCCATCCTCGTGGTCGAGGCGCAACGCAAAAATACGCGTCGCGTTCGCGCGACGACACAGGACGCCACCATTTTGGTGTGCGTTCAAATCGCCTGGCGATTTCACGAGCGCGAGACGTGCTCGCGCGAGGGAGAAGCACACGCGCGCGCGTGTGGCGTGTCTTGCGATGGCAAAAAGCTTCCAAACAGACACGCGACACACGCGACGATGAGCCGCGGTCGCTGTTTACGCGCCAACGGGTTCGAAATGATCCAAACGGCCAAACGGACGCCGTGCTCGTACTCACCCTTGTTTCCCCGCTTGTCCAGAAGCTCGCTCGCTCGCTCACTCGCGCGCGCTCTCCCTCTCTCTGTCCTGGGCCTGCCTTTCTCGTCTCTCACGGTTCACCGGTGATCGTCGTCGTCGCTGCTTGCTCGTCCAACGACGCGGCGGACGGAGCGACGGGAAGAAACGCTACGCCGCGTAATGTATCAGAAGGACGTGCACACCGTCGTGCAATCAATAGAGGAGCGCATCAACCGGGGTTCACAGCGCACAGAAAGCATGGCCGTCGCGAGGAGCGCCTCCAAACCAGACGCCGCGCCGGCCTATCTGGCGCGTTTACAACGGATAAAGAGGGCGACACTTGTAAGAGCAATTTGAAAAGCGATCTTGCGCAATGGTAATATCTTGTGTCGTCACAATCAAGTGCGTTCCCTGCATCTCACGCGCTTGATAATGCGCGAACGAAAACACGTTGCATGAAATAAAATATGAATGCTCAAAATTACAAAGAAATATTTAATATATTGATTTAATGAATTTTGTGTGTAGAAATACTCGTATTATGATACAACTTGCACAGCCAACTTCCATTCTGCGCTAAAGTATCAGTTCTCGTCTAGCTAATATAAAGCAAAATAGTTTAATATTTGGTGCGTTATACCCTAATAATGAATATTTTGAAAAATGTATAGCTACAGGGTTTGTATCTCCCGAAGCCTTTTTACTTCTAGACGCTAAGGGATATATTCAAAACAATGATAATGTACCTGTTATTTATCACATCGTCCGTCATAATAACAATAAGAAATTAATCTATGCCCCTAACCCTGAAAACAGTGATACCGAATACAGATGGAAATATAGCATGTCTATCCCTAATAGAGATATAACTGATAAACACAGGGAAAATAAAGACAAATATTGGTGGCTGGATTAAATCCTTATTTGTTTAATTTATTTATAATTTGTTTTATAATGTATTTGTTTTTTCTTATGTATATTTATGACTATTTTATATTTTATAACTAATGTTTTATATTTTATATTTTATGACTAGTTATTTCTATTATACTGCGTATAATGTTTTTTATTTTTATTTATAATATATAAAATCTCATATATATGATAGTGTAGCCAGTTTTTCTTGGACCTTTTTTCTGGCAATATATATTAATTTTACTTGGCTGTTTCACAGCATGTTAATTTTGTTATTAATTACCGCTTCGTTTTCTTATTATAAACTGTATATGGACCGTATCTGCGAGATGCCTTGTTTGAGCCTGTTCAGATCTATTTAAACCTGTTATTGAAAAGTTTTGTTTATTAAGCTTATTGTATATATTTAATTGTAATTTTGGTCCTAAATAAACGAACAAAAAAAAATACCAGTTCTCGTCTGATTACTGAAGTCAAGCAATGCTGGGCACGGTTAGTATTTAGATGGGTAACCGCCTGGGAACACCGTGTGATGGCGTCCATTTCTTTTTTTTATTTTTTCAATTTTTAAAGAAAACTATGACGGTAACGATATCTTTTTTCGTCATTTAAAAACATAATATTCTCACACTTCACGCTTTTTATTCATAAAAATTATTATTTTTGAATAATAAGAATATATTTTTTTCTTTGTTGAGTCATAAAATGCATTGATGCAAGTAAAGTATCTTCGCTTAACGATATTATGTCGCTTCACGATAAAATTTACATGTTAAAAAAAGATATTTTCAAAAAAAGAATGCCCTTTTTCCTGTTGAATCGCTTGATGGAACACCGAATGATATTGGCGTTTATCTTTTTTTTTCTTTTCCAATTACTCGAAAGTGAAGAAAACGCCAACAGGTGGTATTTCATTCAGAGGAATTTTGATTTTCGCGGGAATTTTCTTTCGCGCATCGACGCGAACGAGTGGCCGAGTTAATTATTATTTACGAATTCGCGTCTGACCGTTCAAATTACATAGATACACGCGTAATTAGTATCCCTACTTCTCTCGCCCGAGAGATGCAACGTCGGTATTTTCGCGCAAGTTAGATAACTCGAGGAATTCTTATAGAAATATCATACTAAGAATCATTGATAATTACTTATTATCCAGTATTTTTAATACTGAAAATAAGTAATTATCAATGATTCTTAGTATGATATTTCTATAAGGGAAGCCTTCGTGTAAGTTGCATCTGGCGCAGCCGCAGATGATCGAGTCCGGCGATTAGAAAAGAATCAGTACGCTTCCCGATGCGGTCGCGTTAGGATCACTCTTCTTTCTCTCCTTCCTTGTCTCCGTCTCTTTTTCACGGAGAGTGTATCCTCTTTCGCGACACTTCCGGCAAACCTTTGCGTTACGGAACGGCGAGCTATGCGCGATGGGTCGCACTGTGATTGCGCGCACGCAGGATTTATCGCGCGCTTACCTTTTCATCGTGCTCTGCTATACCACCGTTGGTTTCCTTCTCTCCTGCGCCGTACTGCACGCCGACGCAATTGCACAATATTGCACGGAGAAAGACCTCGATGCGGTTTGCGACCAGAGTATGTAAATGTGTCATCGGTTGCACCCATTGCATCCATTGAATAAAGAATACCAAGAAGGAGCATGTTGCGATATATCGTAGGTAATCGATTGTGTTGCATTGGCCGCGTTCAGTAGGGTTGCGTCCCGTTTCACGCATTATGCGCGCATTGTCTACAATATACGTGACATGAACTATAGATAAATGCGCGCATATGCGTGAAACGGAACGCAACCTAGAACAAGTGATCAGTAAGCGCTCAGTGAGCTCTTGCATCTGATTGGAATATAGTTGAAGATCTAAAAGAATATGCCAAATCATATACAAGAGCTCCCTGAGCGCTTACTGATCACTTGTTCTACTGAACGCGGCCATAGGTTCAGTTTGATGACATGAACTACGTCGTAAGTGACGTTACCGGAAACACAGTCTGGCGGTATACTTTAAACATCTTGGAAGTATGTAGCAAAGGAATATTAATTTCAAAAGAATAATGGAAAAATTGTATTTATATTTTGCTAATATTGGTGAAGGAAATAAAATTAGTCACTTCCCAGTAAACATGCATGTCTAAAAGATGTCGAAAAGTTATCTAAAAGATATCTTATGCAACATTTTGTTGCATAAGACGTCTTTTAGATATCTTTTCGACATCTTTTAGACATGCATGTTTACTGGGTTGTAATAATTTTCTCTTCAATACGTTTACGCATCTTTGTCTATTCGATTAATTGATAATATTACGTCATAACATTTACTTCGATTCCATAGTATCGATAGTCGCATTTGGTTCACTTTTACTACGTTACATCTTTCGCACTCCTAACAAAGGATTTTCTCTTTATGCTCCTTCCTGATATTCTTTATTCTATGGGTGCGCCGCACACGCCATTCTTCTCTTTCTCTTCACAGGTCGCGCATTGTCGCATGAGAAAACGATCTATCGCTCCCCCAGCGAATCCTTAACAAAGGTTGTCTGATGATCGATTGCTTTTTCATGTGCTGATATATACAGTGGATTGTAAAACGGCTTAGACATAACACATGAGTCATATAATTATACTATATTTGACAGTTAATTACACTTTATTTGACATTTGCAATGATTACTTCATTTAATGCACCATCGACGATAGCGACTATCGACTTTTCAAATCGTAAAGTATATATTACGAAGCGAGTAGCATATATTTATACGGAGAGAATATTGAAGTAAAAACTACAATACAATTTTAGTAGTCCGGGAATAGACTGGTATTATTAGGAAAATTATAATAAAATATTAAAAATGACCATAAATATGACAATATTTATTATATTTATAATAATTTTTACTATGTTTATAGTCACTTTTATTAATGTTGTTACACGGACTTCGTGTAATTTTATTAATAATCTCAATATCTCGGCCTAAAATTAAAATTCCACGATAAGATACATGTGACAAACAGGAAATTAATAGAAAATGTATTCCGTCTCTTGAGATAGATACCCCCAAAAACATGCACGTTACACCCACGTGGAATCCACGTGATTTCGTGGATTCCACGTGAACTCTACGTGGATTCGATGTGAATTCGACGTACGTTTTTGTGGGGTAATATCATAAATTAAATATTTTTCTTTCACATTTTTCTTTCGAATCACGTCAGAACAATCATAAGCGGGAGAGACTGTTTGTCAGATATAATCTTTAAAATCCTACGCGATAAACTACTGGAACAATAGATTTAAATCAGAGAGTTTGCGTAAGATCTATTTAATCATTTGAAATTTAACTCGAGATCTTAACCTGATAAAGATCATAATCCATCATTAAACATGAAAAATGAAAACTTTCATAATCCTACCAATATCCAATCTAAGATACCGCCAAATCCAGCATTAAGATATCTTTTTTTAATTGCCTCAGCCTACCTTCATTACTCCTAATGAATCCAATAACTGTTTATTGGAAACGCTGAAAACTTTTAATCTCCGGATCTATTTAGTTCATTCAGAGTTTCTGAAAAGGGCATTATTTCTTTTTTTCAGGACGCTAAAAAATTTACTAGCTCCAGTTTACTTTTTTTTCATTTCTCTCGCATATTCTGTATTGGTAAATTCATTATTTTTCGTGGCTACTTTGCTAGTTTCAATTGTTAGTAAATTCATTCAATGCGCGATACTAGAATCAAGTGTTTGTAAAACGAAGGAGGCCCAACATCGTAGTTGTTCCTAGTCACACTAGCAACCGTCTTCACTTACGTAATACGTTTACAGGCCAAACTAGTAAGCACTTTTTATATCCTTTTCCAATCATCAAACTAATTCATTTGTTTGTTCTCCTTTATTTCCACTTCTCTCTTCTTCTCTATTTTAATTACAAGAAGGATCATCCTGAGAAATATCTCTAATAGCCTTTTTTGTATAATCTCCCTGCAACCTCGCATCTACATCCATATGTATACACATCCATATACACACACATATACATGTAACAGAATAATTATATATCTTTGTAAATTCTTATTATTTTCTTCTTTTTTACGACATTATAATAGTAAATCTTTGTGAAGTCTATTATTACCTCTTTCTATTTTTCCTTTCTCCTCAATTGACGTGATCTCGTTCATCATTTTGTGTTTGGAATAAAATAAGTAAATAAATAAATATATATATACATATCTCACGGAGTAAAGCCTAATTATTTTCTGTTGAACTATCACCCTTAATCCAACATCTCTTTACTCGGCTCAGATAAAGAGATTCGGTTCTTAAAATAGGGCTACTCGGCTTACGACTAACGTAAAGAGACTTTTTTAGCCTTTGACCTGTACACTTAGATATGTACGGAACTCACAAGCGCGAGCGTACCAGTCACGTAACTGTTTTATTATAATTTTTCTATTATAATACCAGTCTATTCTCAGAGTACAAAAATTGTATTTATTACTACAAATTTTACTACAATATTCTCTCCGCACGGTAAAGATCGAGGTATACAAGCTTCCTTGACTTAAAGATAAGAGAAAGATCAAAAAGAAATTCACGTATTTATTGTTCAACTTTTGCGAGTTAATTTTTCGAGGGGAGAATATGTCCTTTACATTATCTTTGAAGCATTAGTGAAGGACGTTAGTCAAATCTCACATCATATTGCTTTGTAACGTTGTATTAATTGACTTCCCAAGTAGGAATCGTACACGTTTCGCCAGTACGGAAAAATGGCCCGATACTGGGCCGATACTGAAAAGCGGATGTCCGATTTTGGTACTGGCTCAGTACTGGGCCTAATATAAAAAGCTATATTATTGGTACTGGCTCCGTACTAAGGTTAGGAATTGGATAGTCGTACCGTACGTATACTGGGGCGTTATCGAAAAGTGTTTGTCGTTTTCGGTACTGGCTCAGTATTAAAAAAGCTGTATTATTGGTACTGGCTCTGTTCGTAGAATCAGTAACTCGATACCCAAGTAAAAATTGTATATAATCTACCAACAGAGGATATTGAGCCAATATTGTGTCGGTACCGAAAAACGAACGATACCAATATGATATCCTATATGGGAAAATGGAAGAAGTCACTAACGCGAAACCTAGATAATTCAGTGATAAGAACGCTTACCTGACAAGCGGAAGACTCGAGTTTGATTCCAGCCGTCGCCCCAAAGATTTTTTCCTCATATGACTATTAAAAATAGACATGTATAGGTACAAACGAAAGCATGGTCTGATTTTTCTTTCCGTACTATATAGTTGTGATATTAACAATTGTACAAATAATAAAAATTACTAGGAATCGATACTGGCCCAGTACTGGGAATAGATACTTCCCCAGCGCTAGGAATCAATACTTTTTTTATACTGTACTGATACAGTACTGTACTGATACAGTACTGATTTTCGGTACTGTGACAGTAATGTTTTCTGATACTGGCTCTTTTCTATCATCCCAGTATCACACCAATACTAAACCCTTACTGGCACCCAATACTATGCCAGTTGTAAATTCCTACTTGGGTTATTATTCCTGTTATAAATATCATTATTGTGTGATATCGCGTAACTGAAGATAATGCTTAAATGGAGCTTAATAAATGACGCGATGGAAATAATCTAACGTTCGCGTGCTGCCATGCAAATCGCGAAATTGACGTAGTATATATACGAGATATATACGTAGTATACGAGATTGATACGTAGTGTATACGTATATATTGCGCTAGCCTTATCTTCGCGTGATGATTTCAAATACGGTATAACTTAGGGAAATAATTCAATCGACATTGACAACTCGATGACAGCTTAGAGATAATAAGCGCGTATGATGCAATACACATTTACACACGCTCGATTACTCTGACGTGTGCGTCAATTTCTTCCTACTCGCATTGATATATATTTTTATACGTTATGGTTCCTTTAACGCGCACTTATATTCGTCATGTATAATCGTCATACAAAATACCCAGATAGCACAGAGAATTCAAAGAGAATTCAGCTGTATGCCACCAATTCTGAATTCATTTTCAGATGCAAAAAGAATTCTTCAGAGTTCAGTTCAGTGAAAAGAATTCTTTCTACATCTAAAAATGAACTCAGAATTGACATACGACTGAATTCTTTATGAATTCTCTGTGCTATCTGGGTAACAATTTGAAAACCGATCCTCAATATCGATATCTTTAATTAGCTCTCGATGCATCCCTAATGATCGAAGATTGCCACATTTCTCCTTAACGAGTTTCGTAATACATCCCAGGAAAATTTATCTTTTAATAAATTTATCTTTTAATATCTTTTAATAATTCTCAGCAAATACATTTTTATATCGAGTATGAAATGCGTGATACAAAATTCATCGAAGAGAAGCGCTGGAATCTTTAAGACTTGTCCACGCGATACGCTGAGTAAGCTTGGTGAAAGTTGGAGTAAAAACTAAAAATAACTTATTTCCCTCACGCGCCTATACTCTAGTTCCCCTACACCGTAAATATTTCTCTCACTCAAGGTGAACAGGTGAATGTCGGCAGGACGCGAAGTTAACAGTAACTCGGTATCAAAGTCAATCAAAACAAATAGCACGTTTCCGCCGTCTCAAACAGTTTTTTGGTGCTTGATCCATCCCTGAAGTAAACTGCCATCAGTCAGCGACTGCCATCTATATGTCAAGTATATGTAAAATGTTATTACTTAGATAAAGATATCGTTTGAAACGAGCACGAATTCACTTCAGTGTTCATGCGTTGCTCGAGCAGTTGAAACGAACGTTTAAACGGTGTTTGCCGTTGTTGATGAAAGATTTTGGAGTGTTTGACGATAAAAGAGGCCTCTCTCTTCCGCTCTCACGGATTTGTGTATCACGTATTTCGTTCATACGAAGATGCAGCGCGCGCTCCTGCGGACATCCTTCTTTTTACTAAGCTTGTTTGTGTCCTTAGGACAATCCGAGTTTCATGTGGAGCTGGTCCAGGTGGTACGTAATGCATATTCCAATTTCCAACGTAGAATCAACGTTTCTCGCGATAAGAATTATTGAAATATACGATATTATGATATAATACGAAATAAATGTGTGCGCGGCATTTAAGTATACAAATAGTTAAGGCACGCGGGCATACATACACAGACGTGACATTTAAGCAAACAACAAATACAAAACTATCTAATAAGCAAAAAACTAATAACCAAAAAATCAACAGAACGTTATTACAACGATATTTAATAACATCTAACGTTTTTTAATATGTAGTTTTTAATGTTGTATCAACATTATCACGAATAACTTCAACACTTGAATATTTCTACAACATTTTTGTAATACTTAAAGGGAAATAGTAATATATATAATCAATTACCTCAGTTTGGCTCAAAATCATAATAATGCGACATAATTTTGCACGTTTTATAGATAATGAGACATGGAGAACGAGCACCTTTGCTTAAAGAAGCCTTCCCTAAGGACGAGCACGATTTATCGGATTATATACCGTGGGGTCTCGCTCAATTGACTAACGTAAGTATTATTTATATATATACAAGGTGACTAATGGGAATGTGTTGAAAGTAAACGGTTATTACTTTGCAACAAATAGGCCGAATGGAATAAAAAACGCCATTTTGTGGAGGAAACTTATCAATTTTATTACCATATATATAAAAAAAAAATATAGTAATTTAATAATTGAAATATACATTATAAAAAAGGACAAAAATTTGCTTGAGCGTATGAATTAATGGTATATGTTTTCAAAGTGTTTATCGCAATCAGCACAAAACTGTAATTGTTTTCAAAAACTTGAAAATATATTATCTAACATAGATATAAAAATGCTGCGAGTGTATTTTTGAATACAATCTATCAGTTCTGCGTTGTTTGTTTTGAAGTTGTACGGTGTAACATTTATCTTTAAGGTAACCCCAAAGAAAAAAAATCACACAGATTCAAATCGGGTGAGTAAAGAAGACCACTCCAGACTTGCATGAGCAAATTTTCTTACTCACCCGATTTGAGTATGGAATACAATTCCAGCCTTGAAAATTGCGCAATAACACATATCGATCCGACAGTTGTCGGCAAGAGTTTATCTAGAAGCCATTATTTTCTTTTAATATTTTTAAAGAAAATCTTAATATATAATATATAGCATGTAATGTAGTATAAACTTTTCAAGTCATGGTAATTCTCGTAAGGCTGAATGTCTTTAATAGTTCTTCGTTAATGCTAATATGCGCAATTCGTATTCGAATCTTTTTAACTCGAAATTTTCGAATTATTCGGATTCGAATTTTGAATTGATTCGATTCGAATTCGAATAGTTCGTACATCTCTACTGCTATGGCAAATAAACACGCGAAACGTAATCTTGCAGAAGGGGAAGATGACGGAGTATCAAATCGGGAGGATGTTGCGGGAACGTTACGACCATTTTCTGGGACCGCTCTATTATCAGGAAGACGTCTACGCTGTCAGCTCGGATTTCGATCGCACGAAAATGTCCTTGCAGCTAATGTTGGCAGGACTATACCCACCGCAGGAGTCTCAACAGTGGAACTCGGACTTGAAATGGCTTGCCATTCCCACGCATTATGTACCGGAAAAAGTGGACATGTTGCTGAGATCACTCCAATGCCCATTGTCGGTATTTACGTTCGTTATATTAGGGGCTTGCCAAAGTTCGTCGGATTTTTAGTGTTTCTTTTGATTCTTTCTTTTGTTAATAATACAGTTCGCGTTATGTTTGAAGTATCTTGACAGTCACATTTTATCTTCGTAATTATATCGTCTAATTGCTCATCTGCAAAACGATTTATTTTCTGCCACAATGAGGTTTTGGACGAACACGCGCAAGCTCCTGATTTTACACTGAGAGAAATTACCCGATTAAAAATTAATAAACGGATATTTCCGATCAACATACCGATGAATTTTTGTATACGATCAGGAAACATCCGATGAGAAATATCGGTTGATAATTTTTTGATTGGTTTATCTGATGAGATATCATTATGATCAGAAGTATCCGATAAAATGTAATCGGATATCGAGAGATAAAACTTGACCGGGATTTGGTCGGAAATATCCGTTTGTTAATTTTTTATCAGATAATTTCTCTCAATGCGTGGATCAAGTGTCTTTATAGATTTCGTGTACGTATTCTATTGGCTATTGTATATTTCCATCAATATCGCTAATTTTGTGATAAAACATATTATTGAAGAACAAAGGATCTTTACAACTCCTTATGAAATTCTATCTTTTATAGGTACAAAGCAGCTGTAAAAGAGGTAATGAATACGAATGAGGTCCGTGAGAAAATCGCGTCTTACCATGACTTCTTCAAGTTCTTAAAAGAGAAAACTGGACTGAACATCGTAGACACGGATGGCGTTTTTCAGTTATATAATGGATTAACAGCGCAGGTATGATCCCCACGCTAAATTGACATTGATTCATGACGAAAAATATACTTTTGTATGGAGAATGATCTCGACAGATCGCCGTCGCGTCGGCAATTCGATTCAGGAATATTTCTGTTTCAGAAAACCATGAATCTCACTTTGCCGGAGTGGTACACCGACGAAGTACACCGGAAGATGCAGGAGATTATGTTTTTCAGCTATGATATCTTTTCATTTACAACCCAGCTGAAACGAATAAACGGTGGCTTCCTCGTGAAGAAGTTCATCGACAATATGAACCCGAAAGGCGACCCGAATAACAAGCCTTCGCGCAAAATATATATTTACTGCGCTCACGAGTTAAATATCGCCGCGTTTGCCAGAAGCCACAACATAACCGACCTGAGTTTACCGGATTACGGCTCAGCATTCGTCGTCGAGAAACTGCGGGACGAAAACCGCAATTTCTATGTCAGGGTGATTAACGCACGATTAATTATCGTATTATCATCGTTTGATCGGATTAAATCACAAAGGCAAATTACACACACGGAGAAAACAGTTTGATTGTATTAACACGAAACTTGGTTTTAATTAACAGACCAACGCGTTTTTGTTGGAGAACACAGAATTTCTGTGATTTTTGTGATACAAATTTGATTCTATAAGCCAGACATTCTATTTCTGTACAATATTATTAATATCAACAATTTTTCGGTGTTTGTCGATAGATCGCCTATTGGACCGGCGTTTCACAAGAATTTATCGTTATGAAGCTGAAGCATTGCGATGAGATTTGTCCTATGAAAACTTACTTGGAACTCACACATGATATAATACCGTCGAAAGAGGAGGAGAATTGCTTGTGGGACAATATAACCAAGGAAGAATTGTTGCAGCTCTATTCTGAAAAAATCAACTTAGATTAAACCATTATTATATGTTCCTTATTATTGTCACGAATATAATGTGCGTCGGAGACGTATTGAAAAAATACTCTATCATTGGACATATCGATCCAATTTTATTATTATTAACTTAATGTGCACTGCATATTGTTTTTCCTGCGAAAAGACAACTTCAGCTTCGGGAAAGATAATCTATTTTTATAGCATCTTTTAATCAACTATTTAAAAGCTTATATATTAAACAATTTTTTAATTTTCTTTTTTAGATAAAATTATTTAATTTGCATAGTTTACCTTGAAATCTTTTCGCGTATATATAGTATTGTGTGTTTTGTGTATATTTTATTTCACAATAAATATATAATACTTTACTGTAAGTAGGCAATTTCTTGAAACAAGAAATAAGCAAGAGTTTGAAGAAATTAATAGATAATACACTTTTGTTTATACTTATGAATTAACAGGTAATACACTTTTCATCATATTTGTTTGTAATCTCTTTGATAATAAATATAAAATATTAAAAAAACCTGAATAATTTAATCGGTTGATATTAATTATTAACCCATAAGTATTAATTATAATCAAACATATCAAAGTTGAATTGATAATTATTTTGAAATTACTTGTTAGATTTTGCTGGTATGGAAGGAACAATAGTTACATTACAACGTACATACTCAGATAGCCAAGCCTGCAAAAGTTAGGTTTTGCTAAGTGTGTGCTGCATACTATGCTGACATAATTTTAGCAGTAACGAAATATAATCTGCTATGTCAGATGCGTGTACAAACTAACAAAATTTGCGTCATGATACGATGGTAAAAATAGTACATTTTCTGTGGCGCAATCTCTGCCCGTTGGCGCACTGATCGAGACACTTGGAAGATCGCATTCAATAAAACTGAATAATTTTACAAAATTTTGAATGCTCAGAGCGTATACTCGATATTTTAAGTATCTGCCAGACAGTGCTGGGGTTTGATCAATCATAATTTTCTTCAACAAAAATCATTGACCAATCAATAATCTAAATTAATCAAACGATTAATAAATATATGTATATTGGAAGAAAAATACTTGAAAATTTATTTGCCAAATTTATGTAAAAATGCATTATTACTAATATCATAATTTGTAAAAGCGATTTTTCAATTGTTTCGAGCAATGTGCTTTATTGGACGGCACATACACACATTACACCACAGCAAAGTAAAAATCGCATTGATTCATAAGCATGCATTAAGTCGAAAGACTTCATGTCATGTTATCAATATGTTTCTTATTTTGATTCACTGTACCACCGATCAGAGCAGCCTTCTACTTTCGTAGAAGATATTATCATAATTATTATAAAAAAGTAATAATATTCGAATAATAAATGGTAGTGGTAATGGTAGTGATAATGGTAGTTATATAATAATCGATGATCGAATAATCGGTAATAACAATGAATAACAATAACTGGGCAATGGCAATAATAACTGATTAAAGACGAAGTAAAGAAATTGTCGTAACGGCATGCCCGAGTTACTTTCTTATACGTAATAGCAAAAGTTAAATAATAACCGAATAAATTAAATAATAAATAAAGAAGTAATAATACTCGAATATTAAATGGTAGTGATAATAATATCTGTTTGTCAATCGTGTAATAATATCTGCGAATGGATAATAACGAAATAATGATGGTCGAATAATCGATAATAACAATACCTGGGCAACAGCTCTAACAAAAACTCTAGGTTTCACCAAAGCTAGGTAAACGGATTGTCATAACGGTCCGTTTGTGCCGCTGACTGAGCGGCGCTTTTGTTTATCCACCCCGCGGAATACAGTAATTCTTTAAAAGTAAGATGAGAAATTGACAATGTTTTTATGCGGTCAACGATTTTTTTGCACATTCTAACGAATAAATTTGCCAAATTTCTAACGAATAAGTTTGTCCAAGCATTGTTTTTGATTGTCAAAGCATCGTTTTTGTTTTTCCAAGCATTGTTTTCGTTTGTCCACCACGCGGAATAAAATAATTCTCAAAAAGATAGATAAGAAATCGACAAAGTTCTTAGGTGGTCGACGACCTTTATTTTCGTATTCTAATGAATAAAATCGTTTGTCAAATCGTGGTTTTTGTTTATCCAAGCATTGTTTTTGTTTTTCCAAGCATCGTTTTCGTTTGTTCACCCCGCGGAATGGAGTAATTCTCAAGAAAAAAGATAAATCGACAATGTTCTTATAAGTAATTCAAAATTAATATTTTTAGAAGTTCGTGACCGCACGTCCTGCTCGATTTATGCTGCGTTTTTGCTATCACGCCATGAAAACACGACGTAAGTTTTGTTACACTTCTGCTGACACTTAGTGTTATATATTTGAATTTTATTTCTGGTTAAATAACCAGACATGTTTGGTTAGTCTACTAAAAATCTTGTTAACTTAAACAGAATTCGGGTTACTTTAATCGGAATTTCTGGATCCTTCATATGCGACAAGATATTTGGTTAATTCAACCAAATCTTTTTTTCCGTGTGGTTTACGATTTTATCGTTTGCACACACAGACTGACTTTCAATAGCTTTGAATGAAAAGTAAATATATGTATGAGATAAATACAAACAAGGTTATCGTAACAATTATTAAAAACGCGTTTATCAAATTTCAGACGTGATGATGATATATCACGATACTTTTACACTTATATTTCAATATATAATGTTTATAAATCGCTACTAAAAATTTGTTTGAGCATTCAACTACATTAAAAGTCGAATAAAAAAACTAGGAACGGTTAATTGTGAGCACACTCAGAAAAATATTATTTTACTGTTAAGAAAAGTGATTACACAGCTTATTTTCTTTTTTTAAGTAATAGTTATTTCTCCAACAAAAAATATTTTCTCGATAATAGACTTAAAATATACTTATCAAAAATTTTTTTAAATTCATTACATACTCATTATATATTGCTCACTCGCGCGTCATTCCCTAATCTTGTTTTAATTAATATTTTGACTATTATTGCGAATATCGTAAAATGGTATAGGATTTTTATGTTCACCCCAATCCGTTTTACGTTCCTATGAAAATTTCGGAGGAGAGCCTGGGACATCCTATATAATTAATTTTAATTGTACGTCAGTTGAGCCTTAGCTTTTTATTTAAATATACAATACTTCGTTGTAAGTAGATGATTCTTCGAAACATGAAATAAAAATTCGAAAGAATTAATACTTCTATATTACCTGTTTTCACTTGTGTGAATTAACAGACAATACACTTTGCATCACACTCCTTTACTCTATGATTTCTTTGGTAATAAATATAAAATAGAAAAGAATTGTAAAAACTTCGTAATTTTAGAACTGATTTCCCGAAAGTATCAGGAACTCGTAGCCTCGATGCAAACTCCTATCGATACTTTTCGATGAGTGTATTTTTCATCGATTTGTTTGAATGATGATGTACTAAAATTCTAAATATATGAATGTTCGATGTGGCGATAAACGAGCGAATATGGAAAATGACTAACGTATAGAGAAAAAATAATATCCTGATGATATACAGAGTGCGTGAATTTCAATGTTCAATGTTGAAAATACTGTCGTTTTGGGCTCTCAGCGTTTCGATTAGGACGATACGTTGCGTATATTATCCCAGTCGAATTCTGTTCTTTGTTACTGACGATTTCATCAAATTATATAATAAATCTTGCATCGCGGCTGGATACTCCACGTTTGCGTAATCCGGAGTTTTTCGCTTGTTACAGATAAGCTCCTCGTTAGTCGGGATGATGTTTGTGGTCATGTCCAGAAACTTGTCGAAAGGACACAATAATTCGCAGCCAGGCAACGTAATTTCACTGAACATTGGCGGGATGCCCGTATAATACAAGATCTGGAAATTAATTAATAGTGTGATAATTCTATAACTGCAATAATTTTAATAGCTTATATAGCTATGCGAGTAGAGTACAGTGAAGTAAGTAAAGAACGAACTAGTTTAAGATAACAGACACAAAACGAAAGATTTAGCCTGAATTTCAATCTAAAACAATCCCACAGAGAATTTAAAAAGAATTCAAAAAGAATTCAGTCGTATGTCACCAATTCTGAGTTCATCTTCATCTACAAATTATTTTGCTATCATCAAAAATCATGATGGATATAAGAACCATGATTTATAAGCAGTTGCAGTTTTGCTCTGATAGCAAATAAATTTGTTAAGGATATATTATTTTGCATCAATAGCAAATTAACGTGATTCTTAGGACAAATCCACTCAACAAATTTTGTCTATCCAACGAAACTACTTCTGCTCTGATAACTTGTATAATTTGTAAAATTAGTTACGTCAACTAAATTTTTTTGATGTCATTACGAATATGCAGTAGCAACGACGATTTTGCTAAAAGAGCACAATTATTTTTCTTCGTGTGTGGTTATGCAAATATTAGCGGTGACTGCACAGAATAAATATTGACGCGATCGTCGCGATATCGTGTGTTATTTTCTCTTCGGACTGACGATCCATTCACACTTATTAATTCAATTAAAGCAACGTGCTACTCGTAAACACACTTACCTTTACAAAATAATTTGAATCCATCTGATGCAATTCCATAACGAGTGCACTGGAATATTCAGGTACATGCGGCTTGTACACTTGCAATGCTTGCAGCATAGCCGCGATGTTGCTCTCGTGGCCGCTGTATAAATACATCTTCGTACGCGATGCACCGTTTTGCGTTGCTAACATGTTGTCTATCATGGCACGAATCATCGGACCTGCAATGAAATTGAAGTTACTCTTTATTCGAACGTTTAAGGATTTAAAGAAGACAGTTCTTTCTCAATTTCTCGATCTCTCATCTACAACTACATTCAATATTTCATAAATTAATAAATGTGGATAACGATCTGCTTGTATAAGTGAGTTGCTAATCTGTCTATTATCTGAAGGAACTAGTTTTCTGAGTGGTGAATCTTTTGAGTAGCGAAATATTCAATATTTATCTTTCTTACCAGCGAAATATCTCCTAAGTTTACTGTTTTTATTGGAGATATTGTACGACGCTATAATCGCGTCGAAGAGTGAGCCTTTGGGGAAGTAATCGTACACCCACTCGGGAAGAGGCAATCCCAAGGAGGACTCCGCTACAAAAGTATGATAGAGGAAGAAGAAGTCCATGGGTCTCTCTAGTCGCTTCCCGGTTAGCTTCGTCAAGTTCTGCCTCATGTCCTCAAACTGATACATTATTTCTTGCACTTCGGGTGTTTTGAGCACTCGTTCGTACTCGTCGAGATATCTGTCAAAGAAAGGATCCTGGTCAAGTTTCCCGCTAAATCTTGAGTGAATCTTCGAGCAAAAGTTCGGAATAACTTTGCTTGTTTTCCGGACTTGGACCGCGTCTTCCTCATATTTGGTTCTGACCAAAAGTTTCAGGTCGGAAAGGAAGACGCAGTCCAAACTCGGAAAACAAGCAAAGTATTTTCTACATCATTACATACGGAGAAAAATAATTTTGTTCTTTTAGAAAAATCGTCGTTGCTACTGCATATTTATAGTGACAACAAAAAAACTTAGTTGACGTAACTAATTTTACAAATTACTCGTTATCAGAGCAGAAGTAGTTTCGTTGACAGGATAGACAAAATTTGTTGAGTGTATTTGTCTTAGAAATCACGTTAATTTGCTATCAATGCAAAATAATGTATCCTTAGCAAATTTATTTGCTATCGGAACACAACTGCTTATATAAATTCATCATTGTTCTTACAGCAAAATAATTTGTAGATTCAGCAAATTATATTCAACAAATAGTGATTAATACTCTTAGAAAATCTTTTTGCTGTCCATATAATAACAAAAAGATTTTGTTAGACTAGCAGAAAATTTGCTGGGTCAGCAAATTATTTTTCTCCGTGCACCTTCCATAAAATATAGCTTCTCTCTCATTGATCTTTTTTTTTGGCAATTTCCGAAATAGAATCGCGTCGTATACTCACTCCGGACATTCGTCGGGCAGAAAGAGCTTGTCATCAACGCGCGGCGTGTACGACGCCGGGATTGGTTGCCATATGAGCGATTTGTGCCATCGTTGAACAAACGCTGGCGGGAACAAGCTGGCGAGAACAAGCTGCAGGGACATCTTCGTTCTGTCGTAGTCCGAGCTATAAGCTACGATATGTTTCGGCATATATAGCGAGCCCAGAAAATTGCTGTATCTGTTACGCAGCTTCTGACCCAAGTCGTACTCGCGTCTTTTGCCGGCCTGTGAAAATTCACGCAAATTCAATGGTAACTAAACTCGAGTTCTATTAGAGAAAATTCAGTTTAGTTTTAAATGGTCTTTCGCATAACATACTATAGATATTTTGCGAAGTTGTTCCGCGAACCTTGTCTTTCGAAGAAAAGATAAACTTGTGTTAAATCTCGCATTTAACGCAGAAGATGGAGAAAAATAATGGAGAAAAGTAATTCACGCATGGAGAAAAATAATTTTGCTCTTTTAGCAAAATCGTCGTTGCTACTGCATATTCGTAGTGACATCAAAAAAATTTAGTTGACGTAACTAATTTTACAAATTATTCGTTATCAGAGCAGAAGTAGATTCGTTGCCAGGATAGACAAAATTTGTTGAGTATATTTATCCTAAAAATCATGTTTACTATTAATATTAAATAACGTATTTTTAACAAATTTATTTGCTATCGAAGCAAAACAGTAATTGCTTATATAAATCCATCATGGTTCTTATAGCAAAATAATTTGTAGATTCAACAAATTATATCCAGCAAACAATGATTACTACTTTTAGCAAATCTTATTGTTCTCCATATAATAACGAAAAGATTTTGCTAAACCAGCAGAAAATTTGTTGGGCCAACAAATTATTTTTCTCTGTGTATATTTATAGTGACATAAAAAAAATTTAGTACTAACGTACTTGACGTAACTAATTTTACAAATTGTTCGTTATCGGAGCAGAAGTACTTGACGTAACTAATTTTACAAATTGTTCGTTATCGGAGCAGAAGTAGTTTCGTTGTCAGAATAGAAAAAATTTGTTGAGTTTATTTGTCCTAAGAATCACATTAATTTACTATTGATGTAAAATAATGTATCCTCAGCAAATTTATTTACTATCGGAACAAAACTGCAACTGCTTATATAAATCCATCATGGTTCTTAATAAGAACCATGTAAAATAATAATAAAATAATAATATTCGATAGTAAAATAATTTGTAGATTCAACAAATTATATCCAGCAAATAATTAGTACTCTTAGCAAATCTTTTTGCTGTCTATAAAATAATGAAAAGATTTTACTAGACCAGCAGAAAATTTGTTGGGCCAGCCAATTATTTTTCTCCGTGCAAAAATCGATTCTATATCCAGAAATCTCGATTTGTCATTTAGTAGTAGTTAGTAGTGCAAAGAGAAATTACTGTATTTCGGCGCCCCTTAATTAATTCTTTTCACAGAGCTTTCCGATTGTCATCAGTTCTGCTTTTTTTTTTGATAAATGATGAATAAAGATAAGATAATGTTGCTTACTAAAGTCAGCTGTCCGAGACCTGTCGGGTAGAAGGTGTAATTCAAGTATGGATCGTTCGGATACATTTCGAATCCGTTGTTATCGGGAGTTCGGTCACCGTGTCTGAACACCTGCGGAAGTTAATTGAAAACAATTATTGAGGTATGAAAAGGATGTGAGATAAGTGATGAATGAAGCAATATTAACAATAAAAATAATAATAATCAATTAAGCGATATCAATTAAATCGATATTTATCGATTAAATCGATATACTCTGAAACAATTTAGCTTAGTGCTTTTAGCTCCTTCAATTTGTGCATCACAAGTGCTACCTTAAAATAGTCGTTCAATTAAATTAACTAATCGTCCAGCTTAAATTAATGAGCATTAAGTCACACTTACTACGTTAACTAATTTGATCTCAGACATTGCAGTCACCATTAGAATCGCGTTCAGGCAGATGATCACGGCGATCGACAGGTGATTGTAGAAATTACGAAATAGAATCATCTTGTAGATCGGGAGGCTGCAATGCAGTCGATATAGTGCTATTAGAATTCGCTTATAAACGAAGAACTCCCGTCGTAAGAACTTCTGCGAGAAGAATAAAGTGTAAAGACGCGCCTTTCAGCGGACACACTGAGAAAATATGCTTGAAAATTAATTTCATTTTAAAGTTTATCTCTCCCTGTGAAATAGTTTATTTCTGTGATGAAAAGCTTATCTCTGTGTATGTGAACTTTATATCTCACAAATAAATGGTCAAGTACATTTTTTTCAGTGCAGAGCGACCTAAATTTTAACACTGGTTGCACGGAGAAAATATATATTATATACTTTTTTCTTTCATAAAAATTCTTTTTAATTTTACTATATTTTCAGTAGTGCAGGAATAAACTAAGTAAAGTATAGTAGTAAGATCCATCTTTCTAAGGAATATAGTAAATTTTGCTAGACACATAGCAAAGTTTTTAATAGCATATTTTGGTTTTTATAATACAAATAGCAGATCTAAAGTGAAAAGACAATTATTTATTGCTGAATGTCGATCTATTCGTCGGTTATAAAATTCTAACAATTTTCACTATAAAATTCTTTCTGTGTGCGGATCCTGTTCATTAAAATGTATCTCTGGCACATGTAAATAATTCTTTTTTGTACAAATAACCCGTTGTAACATTACGGTGACACAGAAAAATTCTTCCTTTAAGAGGATTATTTTATGTCAATCTCCAAGCAAAACCGTCAATTACCTCGGCAGATGCTTCGATCGTCGGAGAGTCACGTATTAGGTAATAATTCGTCGCCGTCTTGCAGCGAATCGCGAGAATTAATATGGAACACTGACCCTTCGCGCTCGGCAAATAACGCTTTTAAGGTGCAAGAGAACGCATCGACGTGGCGTAATACATCCCCTGGACCCCACTACCGACGACACTTCCTATGCGCGTCGTTTTATCGGGCCATCGCGATACGGACGTCACACGAACGCGAGCTCACTTGTCAGGGAAACATTAAGACCATTCGAAAAACACGTGGCCACGAGAAGATAGCCGCGAAGGCCAGGACTCCCCGACGATGACGACGATGGCGGAGAAGGAGGACTCTCCGTGTCGGTCTTCCCGCCATTGCGCTGACGAATTTAATTGCACACAATGCGATGATATTACGAAAGACTTGCACGTGGAGATTTTCCCGCGGAATCTCCTAGGAATGCGACGTGTGTGTTCTTTTTTTAACTTAGAAAAGTCCTGATTCTTCCGTGATGTTATATGACACGATATTGCCGCACGGAAAATATATTTATAAATGAACACCTTGCTTCGAGCCAATGATTGAATCATAACGAATGGCAACTGTATGTACAGCTGACAAGTATACGAGTTTCGTATGTACACGGAGAAAAATAATTTTGCTTTTTTAGCAGAATCCTTGTTACTACTGCAAATTCGCAGTGACATCAAAAAAATTTAGTTGACGTAACTAATTTTATAAATTATTCGTTATCAGAGAAGAAGTAGTTTCGTTGCCGGGGTAGACAAAATTTGTTGAGCGTATTTGTCCTAAGAATCACGTTAATTTGCTATTGATGTAAAATAATGTATCCTTAGCAAATTTGTTTGCTATCGGAGCAAAACTGCTTATATAAATCCATCATGATTCTTATAGCAAAATAATTTGTAGATTCAGTAAATTATATCCAGCAAATAGTGATTAGCAAATCTTTTTGCTGTCCATATAATAATGAAAAGATTTTGCTAGACCAGCAGAAAATTTGCTGGGCCAGCAAATTATTTTTCTCCGTGTAGGATTATAATGTGTGTACGCAGTTTAATAAACTATTTTGTAGTCATTGCAATTGAAGCTTTAGTTTAATTATTTTGTAGCAATAACTACAAAATAATTAACCTGTATACATTAATTCTATACACAAAACTCGTACATTTGTCACGTATGTTCGTCATCACCGTGTCTTTTTTTCTCTGAGCACGGATAATAGAAAATCCAGCTACACGAACCGAACCTTTTCTTCCATCGCGTTGATATTCGTTTAAGCTAGCTGAGGACAATTGATCGAGCAGAAATCTCCTGCAGGCATCTTTTCGTTTCTACAAAAGAAAGAGTCCCTGGTTCTTATCTGGTTTGCAGGTAATAGAAAACTCAGCCACACCAGATGAATTCTTTTTCCATATAATTGTTTCAATTCACATAATTGATGCGGATTTAGACGGACCAGGTGAGATACAGTTGACGCGCTGTAAACTATACGTGAAAAAAATTAAATACTTGCATATGTGTTGCACCTAAAAGCATATTTTATGACGGATTTGATTGCGAAAGTAGAAACACGTCATGTCGGAAATATCTCATGTCGGAAGAACGTATTATCAAAGAAGCTAAAGCGGCAAATATTATATAATACGCGAAGAGCGTATTATATAAGCGTTTAAATTATTTTTCCGGAAATTTTCTCGCTTATATAAACGTCGTGGAAACATTCAATGTTAATTACGTAATGCAACAACAGTTCTCGTTTGTGTCACGTTTGTAGCAGTAATATAATATGTATATAATATATGCTACATAATTCAAAGCATTCAAATATATTAGAAGATATATCAAATAATATACAACAATGAATTTTAATTCATAGATGTTTTATTTAGACCGTGTATGTTAATGCATTTCGATGACGGCACGAGTTGATCGAAAATTTGATTGACGATATCGCGATTGTATAGATAACGCAATTGCTTGGTAATTAGTAAAATAGCGGTTATTAGTGTCACGTGTGCATTTGATGCCGGCTGTCTGCAATTTTTTACCAATTCCACGGAAAAAACTGAACGCTCATTGTATGTGTGAAATTGAAACACATCTGCAATTCCAACGCTCGCAAATCGAAACGCATTTAATTCTAAGTAAGAATCAGTCCCCATTAATCTACCAATAATCTATTAAATGGCGATAAATTAAAGGATGACAAAAATATGAGAAAGAACCATATAAAAGGCACTAAACGCAACGCCATAATTGCGTATTGATATCCATGTGTCTTCGATAACACGCTTCTCGATGGTTCATGCAGTATACCGGGAAGTGTTCGCGACTTACGGAGTATTCACGCGGGATGACGAGAAGAATGAATCATTAAAGAAATAAACGTATAATTATCGGTTGAAAAGGGGATACAACTCTGCGGGTTGTTCCGTTGTCCTGCTTAAAAAATCGGTTAGAATTACATATAAAACATCAAATCAACCGAATCGTGTTTTTAATTCATATATATCACATCTGATTATATTGTCTAATACATTGGGAAAATGTCCTGTATAAATTTATTATAGACTTTCGTTAGACAATTATTTATCTTAAACAATAGAAAAGCGTATATTTAGAAGTAGATACATTTAATCGTTTCTAAATGATTACCCGATAAGAAATTAACAAACAGATATTTCCGATCAAAATACCGATGAATCTTTGAAACATCATGATATCTGATAAGAAATATCAGTCCATAACTTTTTGATCGGTTTATTTGATGAAATGCAATTATGATCGGACGTATCCGATTAAATTTAATCGTATATCCTGATCGGATATTAAAATTTATCGGTATTTTGGTCGGAAATATCCGTTTGTGAGTCACCATAAAATACTCGTGTATCTTTCTAGTGCAGTAAACTGGGTTGCACGAACGCGATAATTCATATAATATGCAAACGTTTCGCGCAAGAATACACAAGACACTTAATCGCAAGACACCTGCATGTTGTTTTTTACGATTGCGATATTTCTGCCCGTTCGAGAGCGAGAAAATCGCCGACGGTATGTCAATTCTGTCGAAAATATCGCGCAAGAAGATCGGTAAATAGCGCTCGAGAAAGATCCATTGCGACCTTACGATGTCACAACGCATTTGCAACAATGTATCCCGCGGAACGCGAGAACAATCCGCAGACCGCAATCAGACGTGTTGAAAGATGTAGATAACTCGCATTCGTGTGACTTGCACCGAGTAAATCCGCACACGGGAGCCGATATAAATTATAAGATCGCGATCTTTCTCTGAAGCATGTAGAAGCGAGAGGGAGGGATTTACAATCGAATGAGAGAAATATGAAGATAGCAGACGACTTTCGCGAAATTCTACACATGTGGGTAGACGGTAAACAATTCGTTATCCACGTTAATTACGTCCCGTTTGCCGATTGAGAATACGAGAGATCGCATAGAAAGCTTATTTTTTTTGTCTTAAAAAAAAAACAAACTCGTGATCCACGTTACTTATGCGTAGTCTGCCTACTGGTGAACTAGAAGATTCGCGTGGCAAATTTTTCTTTAAAAGATTAGACGTCTCGCAATTCTAATACCTGAATGATCCATGAAAGTCTGACGCACATTGCTCGGTCTTTATCGAATGATTCGCATTAATCTTTACTTCGTAACGTGAAGACAGCTCTCAGCGCCGTAATTAGCATAATTAATGACAGACTCGCAAATGCTTCTGTCGAATTACCGTGGCAAAAACAAGAAGATACACGTCGCTCAAACAGTCTTTGGTCGTCACGAGATCTACGCGTGTGGACTACATGAAATTTTGCAGGTGTCACTTTCAGTATCGTCTCTCTAGCAGAGAAAGAAAGAGAGAGAGAGAGAAAGAGAAATTATAAAAAACGGATATTTCTAACCAAATACTGATTAACTTTTTTATACGATCAGAAAACATCTGATGAGAAATATTGATCCTTAATTTTTTCATTAATTTATCTGACGATTTATCTGACGAAATGTCATTGTGATTTATGGTGTCCAGTTAAATCGGGTATTCGGATCGGATGTAAAAATTGATAGGGATTTGATCAGAAATGTCCGTTTGATAATATTTTATCGGATAATTACTTTCAGTGTATTAAACATTATAGCAACATCTACCAAAAAATAATTCTCTTGACTATAATTGTTTCTTGTGCAATTTTAAACGCGATCTTCTTGTAAAAGATGACAGAGAGAGAATTACTTACGCGCAGCCGTACACGTCGGGGGTGTCCAGCGGAATGTTCGTGCGACTTCGAACGTTTTTCCGGATTTCCCTCGCTGCAGCATCTTCCCCGCGTAAAAAACTGAGGCCGAGGTATTCCACCTGAATAGATCCTGTTGCGTTATCGCGTCATTTCGTTTTTGTGCAGAGCGATACAGATCCTGTATCTCGCTCACGAGACGTTTATTTCACAGAACTAAACTTTGTATCCTACGAATGAATTTTAAAATATCTTTTCTCGGTATTAAACATGAACACTAAGAAAAAATTGTTGAAAATTTATATGGGATATAGAATTTATTTCCACGAAATAGAAAAGTTTATTCCTGTGAAATAAAGAGTACGGCCAAGTTTAGCTCCATTTTTGGTAAGCTTAAAAATGGTCATAATTTTGTTTTTTTTTAAAACTTATTGCGAGTAAATTCCAAATATATAAGTATCAAAGTGGCGCTCCATACCATTTCAGAGAAAAATGGTCCATGAGAGTTTCACTTCCATCTCTCCTCTCGGAAGTGAAACTCTTTTGGATCATTTTTCTCTGAAACGGTGTGGAGCGTCACCTCGATACTTATATATTTGGAATCTACTCGCAACAAACTTTCAGAAAATACCAAAATTATAATAATTTTTAAACTTACAAAAAATGGGGCTAAATGCCTGTGATGGTTTGGCCGCACTCTTTAATTTCTATGTGTGTGTGTGTGTATGTAAATAAACTTTATATACTATTAATGAATTTTCAAGTATTTCCACATACACTTGCTACTAAATACATCGGATGTGGAAGCGAAAACTTTAACGTTTTCCAATCAATTTTAGTTTTCAGTTATTGCTACCAAGTTTTAATACAGATAAATATTCAGACAAACATATTTGATTGCTGTAGCAGAGATATTATTTCATCGAATTTTCACCTGGTCCATATTTAGTTG